ATATATATATATATATATTCAATTACATATGGAGGCTCTGCATACCGCGCTCAACAGTGTCCTTAAGGCACTCGGTGCGGGGGAGGACTTCTTCAGGGAGGTTTTTATATTTTTCTTCGAATTTCGCGTTGCGCTTGTCGTCAGCCTCTAGAGGTGGAGGAGGGACAGCATATGAGCGACGCCACACCTTCACCTGAGCAAACAAATAAAACAAACAAAACAAAGAAAGCAGTCTAAGAAGAAGAACATACACAAACTAATCCACAAAGGACATACAAATTAAAACAAAACAAAAAGAATTGAGAAAAGACAAACAAATAAACAAAAAAAATAGCTAATATAAGCAACAGCGATAATACAAAACCTGTCTCTTTAACAGTCTGCTAAAGCACTGCCTTCTGACGCATCCGTCGAATTAATTAATGTATTGTCTGCCTGTTCTATAGTTTGTTGGTTGAGTTAGCCCTTTCTTTCTTTCTCACCTGATCTTCTCCGTGCTTAGCTGCAGTCTCTGCTTTGTTTAAGCCCTGAAGAGCACCATAGTGGCGTTCATTGAGCCTGAAGGAGACACAAAGGAGACAGGAGGAGACAGATGATGCTTCTTTTGCTTTTGCTTGCTTGTCTTGTCGAGGGTTTAGGGTTTAGAAAACCCTAAACCCTTAAAATATAAATACAACCCAAACACAACACACCTTATCTCATGCATGCAAAACTAGAAGGAGACAGTCCCCGGCACCAACCAACTAACAGATACACACAAGTTCTATGCTGCTGCTTCTGCTGCTCACCTCCAGGTGTTCTTGATGGGCAGGTAGCACTGATTCGAGTGCATCAAGACCGTCCAGCATGTCTCGACAGCCCTGCAACAAGCCACACACCCTAAACTCCAAACCCTAAACCCTAAACCCTAAACCCTAAGCACTAATTGGGGTGTCACGCTGCCAGTCGAGGGTACGGCGCTCACCTCTTCAGAACGCTGGTGTAGGCGACGTCAAATTTAAGCCCCTTTTCACGGATCATATCCCCCGCCTCTCTGCAGTTCCACAAACCCTAAACCCTAAACCCTAAACCCTAACCGTCGAAGCCTTTAGGGTCAATCACTATTCCGACACCCTAAACCCACGGGATTGCACCCTCGACTAAACCCTTAACTAAACCATTTTACGCTTAAACCTTAACAAAGCCCTAAACCCTAAACCATAAACTCCACTCTTTTAAGCTGTAACCCTAAGGACCCGCAGATCTCTCTCGAAACCCTAAACCCCCGCAACCGCTCACCGTGCCTCCTTCAAGCCATTCTCTGACAAGGGGACGTCAGTCCAGCCAGTGAAGCGGTTTTCCTTGTTCCAGGAGGACTCGCCTGAAGACAAACCCTAAACCGCAAACCCTAAACCCTCAACGCCAGGTAGGCGTCCGGTTTGTGTGTGTGTGTGTGTGCACCTGCTGAGGCGGGTGCAAACAGGACATCTTTAAAGCACAGCGACAAACAGTAAACACTAGACAATAAACCCTAGGATGAAGGGTTTATGGGCACGAAAAGACAATAAACCCCAAACCCTAAACCCTAGCAAGGAAATATCAGTCTACACTGAAGGAGACTGCCCCTACAGAGGCAAAAGCGAGACGTGGATAGAGAGTGCATCTTCCGTTATCCTCATTATTGAAACCCTAAACCTAAACCTTAACCAAAACCCGTAAACGAAACCCTAAACCCTAAACCCTAAACCCTAAACCTAGACGCAGCAAATGCGTGCAGCACACACCGTGGCGAACGAGGACAAGATAGCGCGGCGACATCTTCTTGAATTGCCTTGAGAGATAATTCAAGAGAAAATGTCTTCAAAAGTAAAAACAAATATTCAAAAAAAATGATGGAAACCCTATACCCTAAACCCTCAACGCACCCCAACATGCAAACCCCAGCGGGGCAAGATTCACCCACTAAAGCCCCGATCCCCATCCCCATAACCCCCCTAAACCCTAAACCCTGAACCCTAAACCCTTAAACCCTAAGCCCTAATCATTTAATGATAGAAATCTTATTCTAATGGACCGGTAACTCGAAAGTTTAATGAGCTGCACCCTAAACCCTAAACTCCCCCGTCGTGCAAATGAAACTTCTGCACCGGGGGATGTATGGAATGTAACAGTCTAAACCCTAAACCCTAAACCCTAAACCCTAACACTCTACCAAATAAGTTGTGTTTGATAGGCGGTATTCGCCAATGAGCCGTAATTGCAAGGAAGAGAATCCTTCGTCTCAGTTAAGACTTATCCTAGTTCCAGTTATGTATTGCAGCCTTCCTTAAATTGGGAAGTTTGCTGCTACTTGGATGAACGCTGATTACTGAGGATCAAGTGTGCTTACAACCATTGTTCGAAATGCTGGTGCATGCAATATAAAAGGGTCTTCCGACGGGAGATCCCCACTCCCATATGACGCGTACTTCAAAGACGGAACATGTACACATGTACACAATAAATGTATACTGTGGATATCTTTTGCTTTCTGAAATATATAAACAGAAAGACGAGGTGTAATCGAGCTGCGAATGCGCAGCTTAGTTCACCCAGAATCTAACAGCAGCCTATCGGCTTTTACGTACTACTCACAATCAATGAGCACGCAGAGTGTATATATATATATATATATATATATTCATGCTACTGCATTCGCCGTGAATGCACAGCAACCACAAGGGCCGAAACAGTAAGCAAAACCACATAATGCATACATTTGCATTCTACGAAGGAAAAGCATGCAACGCCTTGGCGGCTGCAGAGCACAAGCCACGGATGCGCTCGCAGCTGCGTATCTTTAGGCCTGATAAACGGTAATATATTGTTGTACTGCAATCATGCAGTCTTCCCTTTCGGATATCCCACTTCTTAACCAAAAACAGAGAATACAGCTGGCGGTGCCGTTGCCTGCACGGCGTGCCAGTTGCCCCGTAATGATTAAAAGAACCTCGGAAGAAAGCGCATGCACTTGAATGCGCTTTTCATCATTGATGCCCACCACTAAGTTGCGGTTGGATTCCCTCGGAAAACAAAGACGCCGTCAAAAGCCTTTGTGGACTCAGCTTTTGGCAAGCAAACATAAAAAGGTTATTCACCATCGCCGGTTGCCGTTCCCTTTGCCGCCCCACAGACTCCATCCTGAAGCCTCCTCTGTCTGCTGTGTCACGTCAGCAGGTGGAGAGGCTCCCTGGCTCTCTTGGGGTTGCTGCATGCCGCCTCCCCCAAGTGTAAAGGGCCCCCACGTGGCGCTAGAGGGAGGAGGTGGGTGAGGAGGTAGAACTCTAGGCCATCCATCCACCTCTTCTTGCGGCTGCTGAGCTCCCGCAGGCCCATAAGGCCCTGAAGTTGGAAATGCTCCAGCAGCATGAGGCCTTCGAGGACCTTGGTCCCCCGCCTGTGGCGTACCGTGCGGGGGAAATAATCCTTGTGTGCCCCCACCCTCAGAAGTCCTAAGGAATCCCACAGTACCAATGCGACTGGAAGGTGGTTTCGGCAGCGGACCTCGAGAGGGTTGTTGGGGAGGTGTAAAACCACGCTGTGGAGTGTGCGAAGGGAAACCCGGGAAGTTCGGCTGAGGGAATCCGCTAGGCGCCCCGTGAGTAGAATGAGAAAACGGATGGCGTGGAGGAAAGGCTCCACGATGGTGTGGTTGGGTGGAGGCCCCCTGCGAGTTGAGTCCCACTATGCCGTCACCGGAATGTCCTGATACTGCGCCAACCAGTCCAAGAGTACTCTGGTGACGAGGCACAGTCAGTGTACTATGGGGAGGCTCAGAGCTCCCCGCACCGGTATAAGCATAAGAGGGTTGGCTAGGGCCATTAGAGCCGAAGGGGGATTGCCCCCAAACACCCCTCGCAACGGTTAAAATACGCGCCATCTGCTCGGATAGCCGCTCCTCCAGCTGCTCATCCACCTGCTCCTCCGTCTCTGAAGAGTCGTCCGGTGTGAGCGGGGATGCGTCTGCTGGTGGTAAAACAGGCACTGGAGCAGAAGCGGAGGGCAAAGACTGCTGGTGCGGCCTGCCTTGACTCGGCTGCTGCACCCTTGGAGCGGAGTCAGGAGGGAACTGATGCCCGCCCTCAGGGTGAGAAGCAGGATCCTCTTGTTCCCGGTTTTTCCTACGAAGCCGTGGTGGTACGGGCGCGCGACGGGAGCGCGTATTGGGCGACTTTGTCGGTAAGCTTGGCTGGTCAGGGCCTCCAAGAAGCCAGGAAGGCTGCGCCGGTGCACTAGCTCTTCCCGTGGGCTGTTGCGACACAGATTGCGGGCCGGTGCTCCAAGCAGCACTGCTCGTGGGGAAGTGTTGGGCTGGATGATGGGCTTGATGCTGCTGGTTTTTTTTTTTTTTGCGCCTGGGACGCCCATGATGTGGCCCCAGTGTAACTTCCGGTGGCGGCGGATCTAGCCCCTTTGCAACGCTGACAGCACTAAAAAAACTCCTTCCGAGCCTTCCGAAACGTGCTGTAAGCTTTTTCATTTCTTCTTTCAATGACAGGCGGCAAAATACAGAGTCATAATCGTCATAGGGTTCATAAACCTCGTAGAAACCAAGAAACTCTTGCATCATGCCCATCCACTCACGTAGCCAGCAGTCCCCTTTGAGTCTTGATTTTCCAGCTTGCCGCGCGTACCCGACAAGTTTGAGGGCCTTTTTGCTCACGCTTTCGGGAACCGGATCTCCCGTTCCTACCCAGAAAAGCAGCTCTGATAGAGTTCTTCTAGCCTGTGCAACTCTAAAGAGAGAGAGGGTTGCCTCGACATCCAGATCTTCAGATGTCCTGTCCGGTGGTGAAGTTCTAAGTAGTTCTAACATCGTCATTAATGGATTTATTTGTTGCGCAACATCACTACGCAGAACTTCTTCACTTAGTTGCTGCAGAAACGTTGTCATAATATCGCAAACGAAATTAATTGTCGCCTGCCGCTCGGTCTCTACTACTTCAGTTGAATAAAACGCAAACACAAGCAGTTCTTGCGAGGCGACCGTAAGCAGCAGCACAAGCACAAGTGCCTGTCTGTCAGTGGGAAAAGCCTGTACCGTTTGCGCCCCAAGAACCATAAGATGCTGCAATTCCTGTAGTGTCTCGACAGCCTTGGACTCTCCCGTTCCTAATGAAGGCTCCACTTCCTCCCATGGCACCCCACCCCAAGCCCCCCCTTCACCTTCGTCCTCCCCGTCTCCAGTGCAAATGTCCTTCTGCTGCCAACCTGAGTCCGAGAGAGCCCTTTTATTCAGAGAGCCAGACAATCTCGGAAACAATGACTTTCGTGCGCATTGCAACACAACAAAGGCCACTGATAAACACACAACCGCCACCAATCCAGCGGTAGCAGCCAACCGCTGAGATGCTTGTCGTTGTTTCTTCCCTCTTCCAGTTACCAACGACTCGAAGCCTCCCCAAAAGTGCCCCAAGGAGGGCGAGTCCGAATCCTGAGGCACGACAGCTGACACTGCATCCCCATTCTTTGAAGGTCCATTGGGCATGTCTGGTGCGCGAGTTACCCCTGCTGATGCTGCTGCTGCTGATGCTGCAGCAAAGACTGTTGAATACACTAGCAAGGTGAGCAACCCGAATATCACCGTGTGGGATGCGCAGCAGTGGGCGGCCCCCATTGGCAGGCGCTGGATACTGCAAGCTCTCAAGGTTTCGGCTGCTACTGGGCCTGGGCAATACGGGTTTTTTTTCCCCGTCAGTGGATGCTTGCAAATGCGTGCTCTCCAGCGCAAACAGCTGGGCGCCGCTCACTGGTGAAAAAGATGCACGCACCGTCACGACCTTGCACTCAAGCACGCTGCTTACAAACCCAACAAGCAAGCGTATCCGGAGTCGCTACAAATTCATCTTGGAGATACCGGGATTGTCTGCAACTAGCTGTCACACGCAATGCCCTACCGGTTTCACTTACCGGCGGTGAGGACTACCGGCAGGAAGGAAAACGTATTGCCCCACTTTAGGCATTTGTGATATACTGCATATTCAGTGGTTAGTTCGAAACGGGAGGACCCGGAGGCAGAAGGGCGAGTCAGGTTTCCACCTGAAACCAGCGGAAATACCAGAGCCAATCGAGGCCGGGAGGCCTGGTTGCATGTAACTGGAAGGTGGGCCAGCAGCGAAGGATATAAAACTACAAAAAATCCATTAAAAAACGCAAATTAACATATTTGCCCATTCACGTCCCCACCAGAAAGGAGAAGATCGGGCCGGGACTTCTCTCCCGGCTTCACTCAACGGTGGAAAATGCAGCCCACATATACAAGATGTAAATAGAAAGCATTGAAATGCATTGCTTTCCACACAAATAAGTGGGTATACTGCTAAGTAGGCGAGTGGGACAACACTCATATCCAGAATGGATTCCAGGGTAGACTGCGGGTTGCAAGTCACTGGGACAGAACGGATGAGAACTTCCTGGGAGCAGTATGAGACTGGCATGGCAGTGTTGCCATACCAGTCTCATCCTTGTCAGCTGACAGAATTAGAATAGTTTTTTATCGTCCTTACATGCTTGAAGTCAGTTTTTTTTGTCTCAGCAGCTTGCAATGCAAATGCCTCGTATTGAAGGATGAAATGGATCTCTTCTTTCGAATGGGGCGCACACCGCAGGAATTGTGGTGGAACGCTTCCAAGTGTTAACAATCTCTTAGCGAGCAATCGAGCGCACCAAATTAAAAAATATGTTTTAATATGTTCTGAATGGTGCTTCCTTAGACTTCCATCGGGTGCAAACACCGTTTAGGGGAACAAGAACCACCAGGTGTACTGTTGATCATACGCTTCGGGCAGTCGGGAACACCTAGAACGGTGCGTCCTCCCCCTGCAACGTTGAATAGAAACGTTAGGCAAAGCCATCCAATAATCTGTATTAATAACAATGAATGGGCTATGCAGCTCAGTTCTAAAATGCACGGGGAGCACGGACTGTTCTCCCCCGCGCACCCGAGCTAACACTGGAATGAGCACCTGCGATCTAGTTCTAGGACCATTGTGAGCTGCAACCAAGCCAAAATATTCAAAGTGACAGTTTATTAACGGCGCCTCACAGCATCTCCAGCCCCCTGACATTCTGGGCGCAACGCTCGAAGACCCTGGGGCTCGGGGAGAGCAGGCCGCGTGGTGTTGAATCGCAGCTCACCTCGTTGCAGTGAATTGTGGAAGGCTTTTTCACATGCTACCACTTCCAAATCACCTTTTGCTGTCTTCATTAGCACTGGAGACAGTCGTTATGCTTTTGCTCGAGTGCCGGCTGCTAAGGCCAAGAAAGTGTTAATAAGCTACGGCCACTCTGTTTTGGCCGTAATTCCTGTTGCGGCTGCATTGTTGCGGCTAATTGCGGCTAAGGCCAGACAAATTTCGATGGTCTTAATGGGAGAGGTGGAACGGCCCGGCGTTGCAGCTTCACTATTGGACTGGATGCAGAATAAGGCTGCCAGTGGAGTACCTCGTTAAATACGCAGATCAGTGTGCTCAGAAAAGTGCCGTTGGGACAGACATACGTGCACAGGTTTGGTGTGGAGCCGATTAAAAAATTTGGGCCGCGAATTTGACTTACTGGAGTGCCTCGCGGAGTGGACCTAAGCAAAATACATGAACAAACTTCCCAGGATGCGTGCATGACCCCGAACTTTGCAAGTGGCACCAGATCAAGCAGTGGCTTTCTCGGAAAAGTCCTCCTGCATTTCAACGCCGTACATATACTGCGCGCTGTACAAGAGCAAGCCGCTTGCGTGCAACAGGAAAACGCCTACTGCACGCTTCTACACTTACATCTGCTGGGGCCTGTTGCATGGCCTTAAACAGCGAACGCTTCCGCATGCATTTTGCATTCACACCGGTAGCGCCTCTCTTGCGAAATCGAACGTTCCAGGGAGGATGCTGATGCAACTCTAGACAGTGGCAGGAGGGTAGAACAACACAACTCTGGGGCATGGTCATCATTAGAGGGGTGGCAACTACATTAGGAGCAGTAACAGTCTAATACAATGCTACTCACGCTTTGTCATGGGTGGACACTTTTTAAAGGGAGATGTTATGTAATATGTAGATTGGTGGGCAGTCAAATTAGCAGGATTAGGATACCTTCTTTTTCCTGATGCAATGAGTTGTAAAACATGAAGCATTAGTCAGCAGCACCATGAGCAGCCATTTTATTTTTCTCGCCTTAATAACCAAGAGGGGCTTTAGAATTTTGGATGGTGGAGTTGGTGATGCATTTGCTGGACTGCTAGACCCTTTTACTGTTACTGCGTGCAATGGACGACCGTAACAACTGCAGGAAGCATGCATAGTTGCAGCAAATAACTGCATTCGTTTACACCTCGAGCAATTGAAAGCTGGATCCGAAAAGCACAATGAAAGCAAGAGAAGACCCAACGGAAGACCAAACCTCTGCATGTTCACCGGGTGCAAGTGGCATGCATGTTGCACAAACATAGGAAATAAATACAGAATCTGCTAACACTGCGGACTAGGCGCCTTCTTCGGCCTCAGCAGTGGGGCCGACAAAGGGGCTGTTCATCGCGCCAAAGCCAATTTGGAGAACGAAGTATAAGCAAACGACACAGCCTAACTGAGAATCGGTGCATTGCTCTCTGATATAACTTTTCCTACTTCGCCAGGCGTGCGTGCGGCGTGCTGCGTGCTTGCGGTTGGAAAAATGTTATATATATCTATATATATATATATATGCCAAGCTAAATCGTGCATGCCTTCCTTCCAGCTGAGGTGTAACACCAAGAGAGATGCGTTTCCTCGACCCTTTTCCGAAAAGCCGACCTTGTGTGTTTCTTTGTGCAGCTGCCCGGAGTTAACCTTCAGTTTTTGCTACACGAACAGGTGTTGCTGGTGCTGTTTTTCTCCAGTGTGCAGCTTTCGCAACAATGCAAACTGCTGTTGTTGTTGTTGCATAGCCTCCAGCTCCTACTGCAGCACTGCTGCGGGTTTTGGTGTGCTGTAGTGTAATTTATTTATTTATCATCTTCGCTGGCGTCCGGTTACTGTTAACACTACATCATTCTTCAAGCATAACGCAGGAGATGGGCCAGGGCCATCAATTTACCTCGTTCTAACAATAAGCCTTAGCTCTCAGCTCCTTGCCCTCATTCGCAGTAGCAGCGTCCGATCCGCATGCTTTTTCTGGTGCAAGCTGACTCTTCCCTGCAGCGTGGACGCAGCCAATGAAGAAGTTCTGAGCACTGCAAAACTCCAACCGGATGGCATTTGGACGTATCGCGGAGCCACAAACAGCTTAGACTGGAGCAGGCACGGTATCAGGTGTATATGCAGCTTTAATATCTTCCTTTCTACAGTAGGCTGACCTCCGCCGGTTCCTGCTGCGAAGAATGATGCTCATTGTAGGCTTATTCTCCTGTTGCAGAAAGACCCAAAAGCGATTTTTCCTGACTGCACCATCTCCTTCAGAAACAGCCTAATAAAACTACCATTCGTGATAGCCTCCATGGTCGTATGCTGCGCTGTGGCCCCATCCCAGGCAATTTATGTTTTCACACGCCATTATGAATATCGCTGTTAATAATACTGGAAAACAAGAACCTGCTACAGGGTACAGTGTCTTGGCTCGACCGCTTCATCTAGTATGCTCTAAAAAGCAGACAACAAGCAGGGATCACGTTCAGCGGCACCAGCACCAGCAACAGCAAGGACAAGAGCAGCGGCAACAGTAGTAAAGCAGTGCGTACTTGCTGACGCACGACACTTTCCTTTCCGTGCACGTCAATGACAAAAGCAAGAACCGCAGTGGCTGCTGCTTCACCACGACTCGATGATCTTCTGCGGAGTTTCACCTGACCCGATACAGCTAGGTTGCTGCGGTGTACGGAAAACTTCGGTATGCTGAGCTTTGCGTGCAAGAAACATAGCTGGCCAGTTGCTGCGCTCCGTCCCCCCATGGTGCTGCCACTGCTACTAGTGTCTCTGGAGTTGTTTCACGTGCCTTAAAGGTTATGGGCTGTTCCTTGTATGCGGGCCATATACACATCTCGCTCCCAGATACAGGGAAAGTTTTGAGTTTGTTGTAAGCGCAGGAAATTATGTGGCGGCAGAAAGATGTGCGCAACCACGCCAGCTGGAAAGCCCGCTCCAGCGCATAAGCTGTATACCGTTTGTAAATAACTGATAGTGTATTCCTGTTGCAGCTGCTACCCGCAGAAGTAGCAGCAGGTCCATCAACAAATACAGCAACAGCAGCAACGGCGGCAGCTGCAGTTGCGGTGTTAGACACACTTATAGGCGAACACGTGGCTGCCTCTCTCTACCCCTCTGTAAAACTCCTACAGCTGAGCAGCAGGACCTGGTGCTTGCCTACTGATAACTAGACTGGACGCTCTATGTGGGTTAGTCTCTCCCTAGCATTGCACCAGGTGAGCGTTGGTCTCCTCGGACCGTGAATTAGCATGCACCGTAGCGTCTGGCTGCTTTCGGTCCTAGGCAAGCGCCGCCCCTTTCCTTTCTTCCCCTCCGTTCATATAATAACAAAAAAAATTGTTTACTCCGCGACATGGGCGGTGAGCACCAAAAACCATTCCCCAAACCCAGAAAGCATTCAGTCAGTGAAAGCGTAGAATATCTGCAGGCTTTCTTAAAGCTGCCCAATCACAGCCTACTGCCTGAATGTACCTTTCGTTGAGGCAATGTTGTAGGCCTCCACGGTAGATGGAAGTGCTAATCTGCATCCTACTCCATCTTACTTCTACGCACTCCTGTGAGTTTTGCTACCTGCCACACACGAAAGAAGAGAAAATCCCCAGTTGTACTTGCACTGCAGACGTGCCGCAGGATATAACAGTCGACAGGCGGCGACACGCACCCCTCAAAGCCACGGGGAATATTAAAAACAGCATTAGAAGCAAAAGCATAACAACTACAGGCGCGAAAACATACAAAAACACACCATACACACAGCTTCCTTCAAGAAACATTTGTACACGGTGGCCTATTGAGCGGCTTGACTGAAAGCTTGCCTTAGGTGCAGGGGAACGGAGGCCAGGTACGCACACACGCCTAAGTCACGTACGACGACAAAAGACAGGCTATTATTGTAATACAAACCCGGATTCGTTTCAAGTAAAGATAAATCGAGAGAGAAAAGACACACGCCACGTTCCGTCTCCAGATACATCTAGCTCGCCCTCTGCATGCACGACATGCGAGACGAAACGTGCGTATTAAGCAGCTCTTGTGGAGCAGGTAAGCAAACCTGAATACACCTCTCATCAGCGAAGGCACCACCCAGCGGCGGTTGAAACTCCGCCAAAACAGATAAGGTAAAAAGAGGCGAAGCCACACAACAGCACTGCAGGAAGCCTCCGAGCGCCTTGGAACGAGATTGACAGAGCTCAACGATTGGCGAGTACAGTTGCAAGAGTCATCACTACCTACTTCCGTCCTTGCTGTCTCCCCAAAGGCTCCACAGCGCACCCATCTGGGTCTGCGGGGTAGCCTCAGCTGCTGAGGAGGCTCCCTGGCTACATGAGGAGAGGGGCATGCTGCGTCCCTCCACAGGAAACGTTTCCCAGCCGTCCCCATGGGGAGGAGCTGGGTGGCGAGAGGGAATAGGGAACCATACTTGCTCCCCGCGGCGTGCCCGCTGAGCCCCTACAGGCCCAAGACGCCCTGCCACTGGAAATGCTTCAGCTATCCGACTTGCGATAGCATTTAAATCTCCCGCCTCGTGCATGGAATGCGACGAAGTGCCTCCTTGGGCACCCTCACCCTCAATATGCGAAGAGTCTGCACTGTCAACAACGTGCGAGGTGGTCTTCTGCTGCCAATATCCAGAAGATAGAGGGAGAGGCGCAAGGGGAGATGCAACGTCCCGTGGAGTTTGTGAAATGGGCCTATGGAAGGCAGGTGTCTGGAATTGAAGCGACAGTCCTTGGGTAGGCTGAGGAGATGAGGGGGTGGCAAATACAGCTCGAGGCGGTGGTTGGTGGAACTTAGGACTATGATAGAGAGGCGAACAATTTTCCCCTGAGGGCGCGGGTACTGGAAACGTCTTCAGGTACCCACTCTGGCGCTCACTGAGCATAGGTTGTGAATCAGACAAGGCGAAGGGTCTCTGCAAAGAGGGAGCACCGAGTAGCCAAAGGGAATCAAATTTACGGGGTGATGGGAATGCTTGCCAAGAATCCATTGCAACAGAAGAGAGAGACGGCACGCGCATCTGCGCAACCGTGCGTGGGCGTTCTCCCAATGCGAACGCGGGTGCTTGCCTAAAAGGAACAGACTTCGACGTAAAACAATTGGACAAGGACTGCTGTGGGTCCTTCGTCTTGTGCTGCATTTTCTGCCAGAATGAAACGGAAAAACGACTGGGTTGATCCCATGGCCCAGGATAAGGAGTGGGATTATGTTGGTACGGGTCTTTAGGAGGCGGTGTTGATTGGAGTAATGGAGATTTCACCAAAGAGGGATCTGGTGCCGGGGAGGGTCCTTCGAAAGGTGTAGGAAGGGGCCAAGATGGATGCGAAGACTGTACCACTACATCAGTTCTCCCAGTAGCCCGTTGCTCAAAATGTTGGAGTACAGAGCTAGGCGTCGTGCTGTGTTCGGAATGCTGGCAGGTCGGAAGATGCTGTTGCTCGCAGAGCTGTGGTATGTTATGCTGTTGCTGCTGCTCCTGGTACTGCGGCTGCCGCTGTTCTTCCAGATTCTGTTCAAGCGGCTGGCGGCTCAAAGCAACTCGGATATTTTTGGCAAGCGCTCTCTCAAACCGTTTGAAACGTATCTCAAGTCTCATCATCTCCTTTTCGAATGACCTGGGACAAAAAAAATATTTTTCTCCGTAGTTAGGTCCGAAAATGCCAAAGAAGCCAAGCTGTGCTTGCATCCTCTCCACCCAGGAACTTGTAGAGACATCTGCTTTGAGACGTGCTTTTCCTGCTTGTCGCGTATACGCAATAACGCTAAACGCTCTGTTGCATACAGCTTGCGGTATCGGCGTGGATTTTTTTACCCACGGCTGAAGCTGCTGTAGAGCCTTTTTACACTGTATAATTCTATACGCGGAGATAGTTGCCTCCACAGCCAGACACCGAGCACTCCACTCCGGCTGGGGATCTCTAAATCGTTCCAAAAGCTCTAGTATTCGTCCCGCTGGGGTTACGGCATCCAAGTGAGCCAAAGCCCGTTTCCCCTCACTTAAAATGAAGTCCATTGTCTTCTGCCGCTCCAACTCCACTGAGGGAGTTGAGTATACCCCATACACAACCAACTCCTGTGCGCAGATCGTGAACAACAAGACAAGAAGGAAGGCCTGGTGATGAGAGGGGAGGCACGACAGTGTTTGCACGCCAAGACTCATCGTGCATCTCAACCCTTCTAACGCCTCCAGAGCCCTTGTTTCGCCCGCTTCCTCCGAAGGCCTTCCCTCCGCTCTTGCAGCCGCCTCCCCTGCCTCCCCCTCGATTTCTTCCTCCTCCTCTTGAATGCAGGCTCCAACCCAGTTCTCCTCCACATCTGGATTCGAGAGAGCCCTCCTACCCAGAGAGCCAAACAACCTCGGGAATAGAACTTTGCGTGCGCATTGCAACACAACAAAAGCTATTGCTGAACATACAGCCGCCACCAAACCGGCTGAAACGGCCAAAATCTGCGGGCTTATCCCCTGCTTCGTCCGCCTTCTAACTGCTGATGGGTCAAAGCCTGTCAAAGATTGCCTCGCAATCACATTTAATGGAGTGTAGGGGTAAGGAGGCAATTTTTCGCCCTGAAGCATGCCAATTAATTGTGGAGTTCCTTGGATTAAAGGCGCATTGGTCCTTTCTTTTGCTCTAGTTACCAGTGCTGCTGTTGCCGCAAACAGCGCTATACAGCCTATCAAGCTAGGCAACCCAAACGCCGCGCAGTGGGTTCTGCAGCGGTGAGCGGGCCACATTCGCAGCCGTTGGATCCCGTAAGCTCTCCAGGTGGCGGCTGCTTCTGCGTAGGCGTAGGGGAGTTATGGAGTTTTTACCTTGTGCAGGTGCATACGAAGGTGTGCGTCTCCGAGACGGGCAGTTCAGCGACGCCCACTGCTGATGAGGATGCACTCGTCGTCGCAGAGACACAACCACGTACGCGTCTTCCAAACTAATAAGCTAAGATGATATCCGGACTCTCTTCAAATTTGCCGTGGAGACACCTGGAATACGCTGTTGCAACTCCCGCTGTTCTCTCGTTGCCTTGCAGCCTTGAGTTACCTGCGATGTGGATGCATGGAAAAGAAGCCACTCTACTTTGCTTATGTCATTTGCCGGTTAGTAAGAATTTAGTTATTTCTTAGAAAAGTGACCCGGGGCAGCGGGGGCGGGGGAGGGTGACACCAGCGCAACTGCTGGAGGAAAATCGAGACCAGGCCCCGCTTTGCTGGACCACTATTACCTGCCATTTGGCAGGTGGGACGATACATAAGCATAGAAAACTCCTAATTTGTTTTTAAAAACGTATATAAACTTACTTTTTCTAGTTACACCTTCGCAAGAAGAGAGAAGAGCATTCTGGGAACCCGTACCTTCCTGAGCTTTGGAAAATGAGGGAAAAAAGTACGAAAAGGTAAATATGAAACAGCGAAAGGTACAGTCTAACACATTTGATGGTGGTGATTCCGACGTGCACTAGTTCCTAGCGTGAATTCCAATACGTACGGATGGTTGCGCTCGGGCATCGGACTGCTGACTCGAACCGCGCGCAAGCACAACTGACATACTCAGACAGTTACACTTCAGCCTAATCGGGTGACACAGTTAGCCTAGATGTTTTCCTGAATTCAGCAGCAGTTTTAGGTGGGCATTTGCTGTCTCAGGAACTCGAAATGTATATTTCCAATGTAGGCAGCGTAAAAGGACATGGCAAGTTGCGTAAGGGGCACACCACAGCTCTAGGGACAGACCACATGAAACGCTTCCACCACCTCTGAGCAGGAAACGCGGATCGTCAATTAAGGAAATATGGCGTTAACGACGTTTTTTGGAAATATAAGAAATTCTACAACCATACCTAGCCGGAAGCGAGGCCTGTCGAGTGTATGCACGCAAAACCGATCGCTTGCCCTCGTGTTGCAGCCTGAGCATACCTTTACTTAGGCAAAATCATATGTCAACTTGTTTCATCAATAATGAGTTCACAAAGGATTTCAGTTCTAAAATTTATAACTGCCAAGGACTGTTCTCCAATAGACTGAGCGTACAGTGTTAACTCTGCCATCAAATAACTCCTGTCATGGACAACATATCGCGCAAAATAAGGAATATAATAGAATCTTCAGGGGATAAACAGTAAAGTATACTACTTTTCCCCCGCTTGGACGCAAGCGAGGGGCTTCCTGCGTCCCGTGGGTTGGTGGCTTCACGAAGCCGTATTGCTGGCAGCACCAACCAAGATGGCTAAAAAATGCTCATGGTGTTTCTACTCTAATTGATAGTCAATTCATCGCCAACGGTATTTGCTTCCTCGCTACTTCTCATGCGAATTTATTTGGTCTACTTTAGGGCAGTGTTGCGTGAATCAGGTTTTGAAAGGTCCGTCAGAACTTGTTGCATTCTCAAGGTTTCACATAACCTTGCCTTTGCAGTGGATCAGAAGCAATCAATTGGGCTGGCGTTACATGATCATGGTCATCCTGTAATCACATATCACATTTGGAAGCATGCACGCTAAGGGGGATGCGAGTAGGTTTATGCATGCAGATTAAAATTCTGCCTGCATGAATTATGTGTTCGTGGGTGGGTGGCTGCTCGCAGATACATAGACCCTTGTGTGTGCATCTGTCCGTGTACAAATGTATGTGCAAAAATATCTATGCAGAAGTCTTTGTACGCCTGTGCATACGTGCGTGCATATACACGCATGCGTTTATGCATGCGTTTCTGCTAATGCATTTATAGGTGTTTTTGCATGTTTCTCTGTATACGACAGTATTTAGAAAAATCAATGAGTGAGAATCTACACTTGCATGCATGTTTATGCTCAAGAACACAAATTTAGCATGCACATTCTCAAACAAGTACAAGGTATTCACTGTAAGCAAATGTGTGTGCACGGTGTGCTCATGAGTGGGTAATGCCATATGCATGAAGGTACTTATGTGCTGACATATGCATATTTTTGCATTTGTAGGTGCTGGTGTGTGCGTGCAGTTAGGTATAAGCGTGCGGATGTCTCGACAGATACTTGCGTATATATAGCCATGCGTATGCCAGTGTACAAAAGCATGGCTGTGGCTGTAGATACGTGTGTGTTTGTGGTCCGTCTTCCGTTCGACGCCTGCTCAACGTAACATGTTACTTCATGAGCCTCTTGCCATCAAGCAGAGTTGGGTCAATGGCATCAGTCGCCCCTGCCCTGTCCACTGGTCGATAGGCGGTGCACAACTGTTAGTAGTTATGCCGACTAAACCGTACATCAGCAACACCAGCTGGCCTGCACTCCTCTAGAAAACCCTCCAAGGCAACAAAAGCGAAGATATAAGGAACGTCCTCGTGAAGATGTAGAAGCTCTGATGGTTTTGGGCATGCGCTCACCCCAGTGTTTAAGTTGCTAAGCCGGCTGTCGTACAGCTATGCTTTCCTAATGGAAAGACGGTAGCCAAATCAAAGTAGCATGCAGGATTGCTAAGAGTCTGCAATTAACTTCGTCGAGGCAAAGTTGCAGGCTTCTGGGGATAAACAGTGATCATTTGCAATTCGTCTCGAGCAAAACATCGAAGGCAGTTTGCCGTGCAGGAACAAGAGACGGTACTGTGTTGCATATGCACTGCAGACGTCCTACAGAATGACGAGAGGTGATAGGCTCTCCTCCGAGTCGAAAGCGAAGGCGACAGACACATTAGACACAAACATACAACAACCACAACCCTGAAAATGGGCACAAAAACAAAACAACACGCCCTTCGCTTCAACAATGCATTCGAACGCAGTGAGTTGTGGAGCGATTTGGCTGCGAACCTGTCCCGGGCGTTGCAAAGCGCAGGTCAGGAACCCACATCTGCTGCATTTATTCAGAGACGATAGGCAAAAGGGAGTGCTGTATTACAACCCCGCAGTCCTTCAATGCTGGGAACCTATCAGCTCTGTACCAAATCCAAAGAAAAAAGCTGTTCTGCGTGTTTCATCTTTGCATGCAACTCGAGACTCCTCTGCATGCAGAACATGCAGGAGGATACAAACATATTACGCAATTCTTGCCAAGAGAACACTCACACCTCAATGCACCTTTCAACGTATTTCCCATCAATGCAGTTTCCCACGGCTACTGTTGAACGTCTACTAGGATAGGTACCGACAAATGATACGAAGCCACACAGCTGAAGACGGGGAGATCATTGAACGCCTTGAAACAAGATTGATGGAGCTTGGCGCTTCGCTAGCACATTTGAAAGAGTAATCATTGCCTACTTCTGTCCTTGCTGTCTCCCCAAAAGCTCCACAGCGCACCCATCCGGGTCTGCGGGGTAGCCTCAGCTGCTGAGGAGGCTCCCTGGCTACATGAAGAGAGCGGCATGCTACGTCCCTCCACAGGAAACGTTTCCCAGCCGGCCCCATGGGGAGGTGCTGGGTGACGAGGAGGAATAGGGAACCATACTTGCTCCCCGCAGCGTGCCCGCTGAGCCCCTACAGGCCCAAGACGCCCTGCCACTGGAAATGTTGCAGCTGTCAGACGTGCGATAGGATATAAATCTCCCGCCTCGAGCATGGACTGCGACGAAGTGCCTCCATGGGCACCCTCACCCTCAATATGCGAAGAGTCTGCACTGGCAACAACGTGCGAGGTGCTTGTCTGTCGCCCACCTACAGACCACAGATGGGAAGGTTCACGCATATGCTGTGCTGTTGGTGAAATGGGCCTATGGAAGGCAGGCGCCGGAATTTGGAACACCGGCCCATGAGTACGCCGAGGAGATGGGGGGGCGGTGAAAAAAGCTCTAGGGGGTAATTGGTGGAACGCACGATTACGGTGGAGAGACGTAAAGGTTTCCCCAGAAGGCGCGGCTACTGGAAACGCCATTTTCAGGTACTCACGCTGGCGATCACTGGGAATAGGCGGTGAACCAGTCAAGGTGAAAGGCTTCTGAAAACCGGTAGAAGGAACAGCGTGTCTCCAGGGGACAGTGAAGCCAGGGGGTGGTGGAACCTTTCCCCAAACATCCTTAGCAGCAGGCACAACAAAGGATGCATCCTGCTGCGCCGCAGTGTATGGAGGTTCTGCCGGTGTGAACATGGGAGCTTGCCTTCGAGGCACAGAGGGCACTGTAGGAAGATCCCGGGAGGACTGCTGGAGGTACTTCGTTACTGGCTGTGTTTCCTGCCAGCCTGGAGACGAATAAAGACGGGGTTGATCCCATGGCCCAGGAAAAGCAACGGGAATATGCTGGACCGAGTCTGTAAGAGGAGGGCGTGTAGATTGTACCACTGGAGGTTTCCGCAGAGAGGGATTCGGTGCCGACCAGGTTCCATGGGAAGGGGCAGGATAAGGCCAGGAAGGTTGCGGAGGCAGTACCATCGCACCACTCCTCAGAGTAGTGTGTTGCTCAAGATGTTGGA